AGTTTCTGTTTCCACAGTCAACTGTTGCCAAAAATCTTAATTCAGATGCATCACATCCATATTCTCATTACACCTATATTGACTTTGATCAACCATTCAACCAAACAGGCTCATGACCATGCAACACTCAGAAGATGGTCATTATCATACCAATATATGTGTTTCCATGAAGCCATACTTGATAGTTGTACCATTGTTTCACACAACATGAATTTGATATGTTCTTTACATTATCCAGTGGATATTATTGTAAACTTTAACATCCAAGGTGAGATCTCCATTCTTCTCCCCACTCTCACCATTGGAGAAAGAAAAAACATGAAAATCAACTACCAATAAATTCATAAATATCTTCAAAAGTAAGGATACAAATATAACATAATCCACTTTATGCACATTTTCACGAACACAATGTCTAATATTGGCAGCTTGTTCCTCACCACTTGAAATTGCCTCATATGCCAGTTAGGGCATATGAAGTGCACGTGACAATCTATGGCCCCTGCAGTTACTATAATCCTTCTCCAGCAATAACCTCAGTGTTGCCTGAAAAATGAGCAGGTGTAAGTATGTGCCGGTGACAGTAGCAAATTACAACTTTATTATTGCTCTACGTTCTCACTTTTGTGATGCAACTTACCCCAATTATCATATTAGGATGTACATCGTTCATGATTCTGGATTGCCAGCTTTCCCAAGAGTGATGATAAGACCGTCTTTAATACCAATATCTGCCTTACAATTCCGCTAATCAATGATCACAGCGTTTGTTATTACAGTATCCAGAGAGTCAGCTGGTGGATGCCTGCATGACTGCCCATGCCTTCTCTTATGACTTTTCCGCCTCCAAATACCCATTCATCACATAAACAGCAAAATCTCTTTCAATTTCAGCGTACAAGTCTGTATCTCCAAGCTGAATTTGTCACCAGTGGTGGGCCATACATGTTAGCATAAGCTTCTCGAGTAATAACAGTGGTGAAAGAGGACCTTCTCCATTGTACCTTCACTGCCGAATCAGTGCTGAGTTAAGGCAACTTTGTTGAACCAGTCATTCTTTGAATGGGATTCTTATCAAAATCCTGTCTACTTGAATAAAAGTAAAACAAGCAGCAAAAAATTGCTTGGAAGAAATGCTAAACCTAGCATTTGGCTCTTCTTGGTTCCCAAATCCTCTAACGCTTACAGCTTCCATTGCTTCTGTGAATTTGGCACCAACATGACCATCAACAATTCCATTTCCACCTGTGATCACTTGATTACCTCCAATACTGACAAGTTTGACCATTTTACTTTCCCCTGGCTGACAAAGTAAAAGATCCAGTAAAGAACTTAAAATGCACAGAAAACATTGATTTAAAGCACTGATATGTCTCAGCACATGAATATAAGGGAATCGTAAATATTCAATAAATGATAGAGAAATTAGAGGTCAGCTCTCTCCTAACACAGACTACCATTACTCTCTATTTCATAAAATTTAAGAAGTTCCCTAGAAGATTTTGACAAAATACACCCACCAAAAACATTAATATTATCTTAAACTCCCATTGAAGCTTGTCTCAGGAATTTTCAGCATAATCTCTTTAGTGGCTCTCCTAATTATTTTGTGCTGATAAAAAACTGTGGCCTGATTACAAAGATTGAGTTCTACACAATGATACGAGAAGCCAAAATTATTCAGCCTATAATGGTATCACCAAGGCATGCTCATTTGATAAGAAATATTTTCAAACGATAAAGGTAAGCAATTCCTTAATCGTGTGAAATCAATAAAATAGATCATTATAGATGTCAGAAATAATTAAGGCAAGAGATTCAACCTCAAATCGTGTAGCTGTTCCTGCTGGTATGTTCAAGCGCATGCCATGTGCTTTCCTTCGATCAAAAACCATGTAGGGGTTGACCTCAATGAAGTGATAATGGTTACCAACCTGCGCGAAAGCTAATCGATCAATAAGTAGACAAAAAATTCATTTCCCAGTCAACTTGTTAATGCAAACAGCAGATGCTAGTTCAGTCAGTTAAAAGAGGATGCCTCTTGACACATTACTACTTAAAATAACAAAGTTTACATGACAAAAATACCAATAAAGATACCAGCTGGTGTGCTGGTAATTTCTGGAATAGATCCTTGCCCTGAAATATTTTTAAATTATTTTTGCCAACACCATCCTAGTGATTCAATATAAAACATCTGAAATATTTATTTTGGCCAAATTATCATCAATGTAATGTAGAAGTTCCGTCTTTGAAAACCTGAAGTCAAATAATAAGTACACAGTCGACTCGCAGCCAAACATTGATGTAAAATTAGCCTTAGTTGGATGACACACCAAGGAAAGAGTATATAAATATGAATTAGGAACGAAAGGCAAGGACCTGAATTGGCCTGTCGCCAGTATTAACAACTTTGAGGATTACTGCTTTCCTTCCATGATTAAGTGTAATTGATCCATCTCTAGAGATAACTCTTCCAGGAATTTTGCCATCCTCTATTTCTAGAAATTTGTCTGGAGCTGGCACTGCAAAATTAATGCTCTTCCATCACTGTTCATGAGTCTGTCAGACTCTTACATGTAGAGCAAATAATACATATTTCTAGGAAAACTTCATTACATAGGAACATGAGCAGGAATGAAAAGGTTCAATTCTATTATGAAATATGGAAGGCTGTTTACATAAATTTTTCAAAGAATTATTCTGTCCTGGCTCATCAGGAATCTCAATCTTTTAAATCCAACTATCTAAGCATTTTCCAGACCAATGGTCAAATTTCCACAAGTCTCTTTGGGAATTAACTTAGTGTCTACAACTTAGGATGTAAATGCCATAGCTGCCCACAAATTGTAAAAGGGAATGAAAAAAAAAATGTATATACAGTGTTTGCCAGTCATCACGAGAAACTTTTTTATTTTTGGCTTTTCTTTTTAAAAGATCCTTTCTAGGATATGAACTGTACAAATAACAACTCTTAGGTTTAAAGGCAAGCAGAAAAAATTCCTTGAAGCTAAAATTATTGTGATGAAATAAAGAATTTGAAAGGGTACCCGAAGAGAGCTTACACCAGATGTCCTTATGGAATTAACCAAATTTACAAACCAAGCCAAGTCCTAACCTGGAAGGAAAGAACCATGCAAAGCTAGCTCTAGGTTCCCATTTTCACTTGCAATTGGGTCATGTATAGTGATCAACTTTGTCCCATCAGGAAATGTTCCTTCAACCTGCGATCAGACTTCCTTGATTAAGCAAAACAGAAGCCACAATTTTTAAAGGAGTTCAACATTCATTTACTCAACCATACTGCTAGGTTCAAAATGAAACTTCAATACTAGCATATAAAATACTCAAACTTAATACCTGGACAGTATCCAAAAGATGCGGAACGGCTGGAAGAACTTGTCTCCTGTTAAAGAAAAAAAAGAAGAGCTAAATTACACTTAAAATAAAATTAAACAAACAATAACAAGAGAGACATAACTCACATAATACCTCCCTAAAAGTTGCTTTCCAACATCCATAAGTTCTGCCACACTTTTATTGCCATCACGAACAAACTCCAAAATCTATAATCCATTTATTTAACAAAATCAAAAAGTGAATCAACAGCCAAAAAGAAACTGTTGGAAGTTCAGGCTAGAAAATATTACCTAGAAAATCAATTTTGTTTGTTTCAGGCTCACATTAGAATTAATGTATATAGAAAAGTTCTCTTAAGCTTACAATAATGAAATTGGTGGGAGAAAATAAGTACCTGAGTGGCAATGAGAGCAACAGCTTCAGTGTAATTAAGTCTCAAGTTACGAGCAAGTCGTTTCTGTGCAAGGTAACCTGCGTTGTGGAGTCCTAGTTTCTCCACTTCTCTCGGAGTTAATTTCATTTCTTAGTTTTTCACGAACCTATTAACAAAAATATCAAAAAACAATAATTTTCCACCACAGGACTTGCGATCACAAGAAGAAGAAAAGACTGTATTATGAAAATTTCGATTAATGGATAAAGAAATTGTACCTCGGGGTTACCTTACAAATGAAACTTTAGGCGATTGAGACTCCACCTGCTGCTGTATTGACGCCGACCGATGAGAGAAACAGAGCTTACTCTAGCTGCCGTTTACGGAGCAGAGCCCAGTTGGAGACTTTCAGATGGGGGCCATTATTTTTTCTTAAATTTGTTCTGTGACGTGGCAAACTTCAAAGACTTTCTTTTATGAATATAGTAGTGTTGTATTAGTATTGGTAAAAGAACATTAAGCTCCAATCATTTCATCTGAATGTGGATGGTGATTTGAAAAAGACAATCTAATTAATTTAATAAGAAATAAAATAGCAGATGCTGACAATTTATATGCGTCATCAGTTCACGACCCATTTCATGATAATCTAAGAATTGATCCATTAACAGCGATAAATCTGTATTTGGCAGCGAATCAATTTTTATTTAATTCGATCAAAACAACGAAATAAGTTTTTGATATTTAATGGATGATCCCTCCTCTTCTGTTTCTAGCCCTCTTTGTATTGTTCTTGTTAACTCTCTCTCTCTTCTTATCATCTTCTTCCTCAACATTTCATATTCTTTTTCTTCTTCTCAAGGAACTCAATGACTCCTTGAAGGGCGATATCAGCATCTTCACTTCAGTACTCTTCATCTGTTCTTCAGCAAGCACAGCCGGTGTCACCTGTAGTTCTCTTATTAATTCTGCAATTTGAGAAAAAAGAGAATGACTTTCAATGTCGAGATAGTTGAAAGCAGGAAAAAGAGAACTTGAGATCACAAGAAGAAGAAAAGGTTGAATTATGAGAACTTCGATTAATGGAGGTTACTACTAATCATGTCATCCAACAATCTAATTAAATTATTATAAGAAATATAATAGAAAATGCTGACAATTTATATTCTTCATCAGTTCACCAGTCACCACCCATTTGGATTCCTCAATTTTTAATTTCATTTCATGATAATCTAAGAATTGATCAATTAACAGCAACAATGTGTAATTGGCAGCTAATTAAAATCCCTTTTTTTATTTATTTCAACCAAAACTACAAAATATAAGGATATTAAAACTATTTTGACAAACTTTAATCCCTTCAGAGGTTTGAGATGGATGATCCCTTATCTTCTATTTCTAGCCCTCTTTGTCTTTGCCATCTTCTTGTTCTTGTTGACTCCCTTTCTCTTCTTATCACCTTCTTTCTCAACTTTCTCACTTTCTTTTTCTTGTTCCTTGACCTGTTTTAATTCCTCTTCAACTTTACATTTCATATTCTCTTTCTTCTTTTCCAGGAACTCAATGAGTCCTTCAAGGGCAACATCAGCATCCTCAGTATTCTTCATCAGTTCTTCAGCTACCTCAGCCGGGGTCACCTCCACTTCTTTTATTAGTTCTTCAATTTGAGGAAAAAGAGAATGACTTTCAATGTTGAGATAGTTAAAAGAAAGAGTTTTGAAGGCACATGGCGTCAAGAATGACATGTGAATGTGCTTGTCCATGCGACCTGGCCTCAGCAATGCAGGGTCTAATCTCTCTTTATGGTTCGTTGTGAATACGATTATCCTCTCGTTTCCACAGCTTGACCACAGGCCATCCACGAAATTAAGTAACCCAGATAGTGTTAACTGTCAATATGAATGAACAAACATTCAATAGCTGCAAATAGTAATTCTTAGTTCTCTCACATATGCTTTAACAAAGGATTTTAAAAAAAAAAAAATTCGGAGCTCGCAAAAGAGAAAACAGATAATTTGGATGACAGAAGTATGTTATGCACTCACATTACTATCATTGTCGTTACATCCTCCAGATTGTCGATTCTTCAAGTCAGTGCTACAGTCAATATCTTCTATTACGAGTATGGATCGGTTCCCGGTAGAGACTAAGAGGTGCCTGAGCTGTGAGTTGCTCCTCACAGTTGTAAGCTCCAAGTCATAGATGTCAAACTTGAGATAATTAGCCATGGCTGCAATCAAACTTGATTTGCCTGTACCAGGAGGCCCATACAACAAATATCCGCGCTTCCATGCCTTCCCTACTTTCTTGTAGAACTCCCTTCTCTCCACAAATCTGTCCAAATCATCCATCAACTCTTTCTTGAGCACTGGATCCATTGCCAATGTTTCGAAAGTGGATGGATGGTCAAGGTTAATTGAGTACCAGAAACCTTCATATTCTCTAATTGAATGTAGCTTGACCACCTTTTTCGATTCTTTTATGGCCTTTGCTCTTTCTGCTATGTATGGTAGGTAAGTGCTCAACACCATCTCCTTGTATCTCTTGTGAAAACTGAGCTGAATTGATTTTCGTTCACGTGTTTCTGAAACGTTATTCCGGCCATGGGATGGCTTCTGTGTTTGAATACAGATAAATTCCCATGTGAGTTGAATTCCTTCAAATGTGTCAATGATCTTCTGGCCTTTGTTGACGGTAACTAACAGGCTCTTCTCTTCTGCTGATTGGGAAACTTTAAGCTGCTCAACTGATGGCGTAATCCTCGTGCTTAAGTAAATTTCAGAAGACTGGTAGATTTGGTTGATGACCACGCCATTATATTGATCAATGAAGATTTTTAGTTGATCAGAGAACTTCCCAAAAAGGCCTCCAAGTTTGGATAATACCTTCTCTTGTAGTCTCTGGGGTATCAACTGGACGGTCATTGTCTGGACCTCAGTAAGCACAGTCCTGACAAGCATTGCGGATGTGGCGAAAGTGGTGTAGGCTGATAGAACTGATGCTGTGGAAGGCATTTTTGTTAGAGAAAACATGTTATAGTAGGAATGAAACTATCTTTTGTATATTTGCTTCCTAGCTTGGGTTCCAGCGGTCATGAGCAAATGGGTTTTTATAGAAGGGATTTAGCTTCCACACGAAGCTGTTTGATAAGAAAAATCAGTACATTCAAAAAAGTTCCAAGGATTCAAAACTTACACGGCAATTTTCAATCCAAGTCAATTATGCACATCGCAGACGCAGGGAATAGGTAAATGTCAAGAAACTCTACCCCACCATCTTAGTGGCTGCTAGCTATGCTCACGACAATTTTCAATCCAAGTCAATTTTTCCAAGACATGCAAGTCACTGAACCAGTCCCACCAAGGATTCTCTCCTCCTCCTCTAGGCATAATGAGGGGGTGAAATGATACACCACATTTCTTAAACCGTCCGAGTCTTTTATATAATGTTTGAATATCTCCCAAACCGTGTCTAATCATTGATTTATATATTTCATCTTTTTTTTAATTCTATTTAATTAAAATGATAATATACTCCCCCTATCAACAAGTATAAAATTAAATATATTTGATTAGTAATGGAAGTTTAACATGAATGCATGAACTGAGTTGGGTACCGGTACCAATACCAGTTAGATTGATGGGATTTAATTTGTTTTAAAGTTGAATTAGTATTGAGTGAATCTAGTTCAACCCAACTTAGCTTTATGGTCATAGGGATGTGTGTGCAATGTAATAGTTTTACATTATTTCATATTAGTTTTGCTTTAAATTGTTGATTTTTTTTTTTTTTTTTTTTTTATTTATAGGTTTGTAAATGGAGGGTAATTCCTCAAGTATCCCTACAATACAAGATACAATAACCAATACACTTAGCGATAACCTTAACTTGAATGCAACTACAATAAATACAGAGCAAAGTATTAGTAACCCGGCTAATGGTGATGAAAATGAAAATCCAATTCAGAAAAAAAAAAAGAGCGAAGACATCAGTGGTATGGACGAAGTTCAAGGAAGTGGTACTCCCTAATGGTACCAAAAAGCAGAGTGTATCTATTGCAAAGTAAAGTTGTGTATTAATGCCACCGGAAGCACCACCCAGTTTAATAGACATTTAAGCCGGTGTTTAAGGAGAAAAGCTTCCATGAGACAACAACATATTAGTTTTCCGAGTACCGGTAATGATATTGTAACTACTATTTTACCAACTTTAAGTGGGAAATTTGACATGTTGAAAATAAGGGAATTGATCCCCCATTGAGTGCTCATGCATGAACATCCATTTACAGTTGTGGAGGAAGAGGGCTTGAACAATATGATAAAGTATGAGATTCCTAGATGAACTTCAGTTTCCCGCTATACTTGTAAAAAAGACTGTATGAAGGTATATGAAAGTGAGAATGCCAAATTGAAGACTTTGTTGAAAAGTGCGACAAAAATCAGTTTGACTACAGACTTATGGAATTCAGGAAATCAAAAGATGGAGTATATGGTGTTGATCGGGCATTGGATAAATAGTACTTGGAGGCTGAATAAACGTATCCTAAACTTTGTTTGTCTACCTCCTCTCCGAACTAGTATTATCATTGCGGATGATATTTTTAACTGTCTAATGAGATAGAGAATTAAAAATAAGGTATATATTATTTCTGTGGATAATGCTTCAAGTAATGATTTTGCGATTAATATGTTGTGATACAAATGAGCTAAAAACAAGAGTTAAAATGTTTGACTTTAGTATTCATATAGTAATTCAAGTATCCTACTTTCCTCTCCACCTTCTGCTTTTTAATAATTGCTTCCAGAAACCACACTTTTATTAAAATCCTTATTACAAAACAAAACAAATAAGTTGTACAAAATTTCCTTACGTGTATGAAAGTGATAGTGATTACGAAAGATAGAGAAATTTGGAGCCACAATTTTTTATTTAATATATTAATAATTTAAACAAGTAATACGTCTGCTCGTGATCCATGTTTTTGGGGCGGCCAGCTTTAATCCAGCCCCACTTGTTTTAAAAACCGACCCGGCGTGAAACCTGACAAAATGATCGAGTCCTAGATTAACCGGTTTAACCAGTTAGTTCAACTGTCATCATGCTAACATCAATATGATGACACCCAAAAAAAATTTCTCCAAAAACCCAAAAGACAAAAAAATGACTAACTTTCTCTACACACTTCCATATGTCAGCATGATGACACCCAACAAAATTTTCCCCCAAAAAATCACAAAGAAAAAAAAAATCATAAGCTTTCTCTACACACTTCCACAACACCCCAGGAAACAAAGAGAGAAAGATAGAGAGATGACAAGACTCACCGTAACGCCATTTCCACCTCCCTCCACTTTGCATCTACCTCCCCTCCTTCCCTCCTCTCTCATTGCCCAAGTAAGTCTTTTTCTTCTCATTTTTCATGCTTTCTTATCTTGGTATTTGCTCTTTTTCTTGTTCTTGTGTTTTTTATTTTGATGTGTGTTGTTTGACTTGAACAATTATCTTCTATGGGAGAGAGAACCACTTCTGAAAGTAATTGTTGTCGAAGATGAGATGAAATGAAGATAGTGAAGATGAAACAAAGCTACCACTGAAGTGGAAATGAAAAAATTAAGAGATAGAAACGAAAAAACCGATGACGAAATTAAGAAATAGACTAATGGAAGAGGGCAAATATGGATTTTGGGTTAGGGGTTGAAAGAATGAAAAATTGAGGAAAAATGTAAAAAAAAAAAATCACATTTAGGAGGGGGTTAGAGTTGACCTGGTTTTTTTTCAAAACCGGTTGGACCATCGGGTTGCTACAGTATCCGATCCAACTGTGGGTCATACCAGGTGAATTCAATTATCCGGGTTTTATGCTAGTCTAGCCTGGCTTAGTGGCCGAGTCCTGGTTCAACTAGCCGGGCCGGGTCAAGTTTTAAAACATTGCTCGGAACCTTGAAATTTTTGAAAAAATAAAAGCTCCAGTAACCACCCTTATTAACACCCAAAGAGAGAGTTAAATTTATGATCTGTTGAATAATATATCAAAGAGTCAAAAAATAAGAAATGTGGGCATATAAGGTGGACCTGAATTCCAATCCAGTATCATAAGCTGGAAATACCTCAGTACAGCCACCACTTTACACGATAATCCCCATATATAAATTGCACTGGCCACTAAAATCATCCGGCTGGTCTGTTGGATGCCCACGTAATAAAGTAAACCAAATATTGCGATGTAATCAACCCACATTTTAAATTTACCAACTCTCTTATCACGTGAGAAGAAGTTTAATGAATATAAGCGATGAGGCTATAAAGAAATAAGTTGAATATTTTAAAATCCATTCTTATGTACTTGTAAATGCAGCCATGATGACATGCAAAATATCATTTCATGGCAAACTATTATTTCCTGGAGAATGAAACACCTAGGAACTCAAAAGTTAAACGAGAGCTCATAGTGTGTCAAGAAAGATGCGTTTGAAAACCATTGACCAGAGTATCAGATTAAATAGGGGCATATAACAAAGAAAAGGGAAAGAAAAACACTCCTAAGATGATAGAGCCTTCTGAACCTCAACAGTGACTTCTTTCGGTTGTTTCTCGGCATGTAATTCAGCAAGAACACCTTTCTTGGCATAATAGTCAATAACCTGCATGAACAAAGATGGTTAAATAAAACAGCAAGAAATGAGCAACACGTATTGTAAACTAATTATGAAATATAAAACAATTATAAGGACTGAAGCATAACAGATAAAGATAAGAGACTATTGTGAATAGGAGAGCAATAAAAGGGTTGAGATTTATTTTCTTCCCATATTAGTACTGTGAAATTACAAAAGGAGGGAACGGTTTATATAGGAATTCTATCAGCCCCCAAACTAATCAAAACTTGCCATTTAGCCACTCATGGGGGAGTATTCCACATGTCCAACACCATTATACAATTCATCATGTAATTTTGTTTCTTTGCTTAAGGTTTTCGTCCCACTGAGTTTTTCCTAAGTAAAGTCAACCATAGTTATCTGTAAGTGATGGATTTTATTTGACGGAAACCGAAGGGAGAGTGTTGTAAAGACATGTGTATCTACCACCAATTGACACTTTTCACCATGTCATTGCCACCTTTTGACACATGACAAAAGGTAGCAACAATTTGTGACACCAAGTAGCTAAATGGCAAGTTTTGATTAGTTTGGGAGATGACATTAATTATTATATAAACCTTTCCCTCCTTTGTAATTTTACGGTACTAATATGAGAAGAAAATAAATATCAACCCTTCTATTATTCTCCTATTCACAACAGTGTCTTATCTTTCATCTGTTATGTTTTAGTCCTTATAATTGTTTTATATTTCATAATTAGTTTACAAAAGTGGAGTGAAATGTTTCCAAGGGTGAAGTAATAAGCTCCATTTAAATCGAGGTTGGCTTTAAGAAATTCTGTCATATGCTTAAAAAGCAATACACTGAAACATCTAAATAAAAATGTCTCTCTAGACAAATCATTACAAGCAAGGTATTATTTTTATAATTCAAACACCTTGATATAGAACACCAATTAGCTTTTAAATTAAAAAAGTATGTCCTTCTATATTTCAAATGTGATCGGTCTCAATTAAAATGCCATTAAATAATGAAACACCAATGCATTATAATGTTAGAAATCTCATTTTAACATAATATGCACAAACGTAGAGATAAGAACGACTCAATGTGAAATAGAGTCACAGATGTAAGAGAAGGTAAACTCTCATACTTAAATAGTGTTCAGTTGTTGGTTTGCCATAAAAACAGAAAAGATCAACCGAACAACACTTTATCTATTATTTTATGTAGTCCAACTGGATTTTATTGAGAATAGAATAAAGATTCAATTCGGATTTTACGAACCAATCAAACTATTCGAATCCTAGCACAAAGGATGACTCGGTTTCATGCCAGAATTGGCTTCGTTCTTCAGGCAAGGCAAAT